ACCTTTCCAATTATATTGGGCCCAGCTCTAACGTGTGTACATTGATTATATTCTTTTGGTTTGTTTGGATTTTTTCTATCACTTTATTTTTTAAGAGAGTAAAGATCCAAATGCATTCACTTCAGAGAATAGGCAGACCAATAAATGAATTATTAACAAACTACTGAAGTACTGGTAGGCTAAGTAATAAAGGTATTATGTTCTTAAAAATCGTCAAGTCTGTGCCTGAGACAGGGACTGTCCCCCTCTCCGCGTCAGTGGGGACCTTCATAAAATGACAGATTGAAAAAGCCAATTGTCCCAGATTCATGATTGCATCATGGATCTTATATTTTCTAGCAGAATCAAGAACATTTTTGTAAACACTATAGTAGTACCTTTATTTTAATTATGAATATAACTCAACAAGAAGACAAAGGCTGTGACTGTTGTCCACCATCTCCTGAAAAGGCTGGGACACACCTAAAGGATTCAGGATGAGGCAGTTTCCTGACATTGCCTCCAGTTCTTAAACAAACTGGAATCCTATCCAATTTGATTGAGTACAATTAAATTAAAATAACCAAGCATTAGTTTAGCTGTCAGACCACAAAATAACTTTTGAAGAAGGATTTTTATGGAGGAACCACATGCTTCTCAATGACCACAGAATTATCAGTGTGAGAGAGAAATCCATTCCACAGGTTTTCATTGGATCTAATAGTAAAAGTTTCTTGCATAAAGGGCTTGACCCTGTGAGTAGCACTTAGGGGCAGAGCTTTACCAATAATTATCACAGTTAGCTGGATGCTAGTCTCTCCTCGGTTACTGTGCTGGAAATTAATTTCAATGCTAGCAGAACCTTTTCACTTGGGGAATTAATAAACCCAAGAGTACCCCAGATAAACAGCTGTCCCCACAACCTGCTGCAGGAGGGATGTATGCTCACTGTTTCAGCATGTTCAAATTACTTTACCCCTTCGAAGCATGGTTTCTGATGCCACATAGCTTGGAGTCTACTGGGGGGCGAGAGACATGCAAAGACTGATGTGCAATGTATGCACAACACTAGTGACAGGTCCCCAAGCCCAGGTGGGGATAAACTGCTGTGGGGGCTCACAGGCATGGGCAGGAAACTGATGGAGAGAGAAGAAACCTGACGGCAAAGGCTGAGATCCGCTCAGGGGGCCACATGTGCTTTGGTTCCGCTGAGATGTTGGAGGAGGCTAAGAGCCAGGGTGCATTGGGGAGTGTGCATAACTAAAATGTGGCGAGGAAAGCAGGGCACAGTCCCAGGAGTGGAAAGTCATTACCATGGGGGAGAAGTGTGAGGTGCACTCTGGGGCCATGCCCTCTTTATTTTATTTCATTTTATCTTATTTTATTTTATTTATTTTTATTTTTTAAAAGAAAATGTAATTCAATTAATATTATTTTTTTTTAACATTCTTGGGTATTGCAGAGCAGTTGGGAGGGAGGGGGAGAGGGGAAAGGGGAAGGAAATGTGATGGAAGAAAGAGGAAGGAGGAGGAGCAGGGTTGAGACATGTGGCACCCCCCTCATCCCCACAAGGGAGACCGGGGGGCTTCCAGTGGTGGTTTGGTCATTGTTGGGCTGGGTGCAGATGTCATAGGGGTGTGACAAAAACCCTCACCCCCCACCACCACAGCTCGAGAACCTGGGGCCCTTCTTGCTGTGGCTCGGTGGTCAGCACTGGGCTGGTTGCACGTGTTGGGGGATGTGATCAAGGCCTGAGGCCCCTCACTGCCCTAGCTCAGGAGAGCCTGTGGCACTTCCTGCAGTGGCTTGGTGGTCGCCACTAGGACATGACCCCTAAAAGAGGTAAAGGAAAGACCAGAATTAATGTTAGGGAACTAAATAGAAAGTGGTGCCAGGCAGATTGGCTGGGCTGGAGCAGGGTGTCAGTGTGAGAGGCTATGAGAGCCCCTGTAAGAACTCTCCTGTTAGAGAAAGCAGAGCACAAGGGCCACGGAGAGCAGATTTCAGAGGTAGCGTTCGCAGGCCTGTGAACAAGACTGTGTAGGAGCAAAGCAGACACAGACCCGACTCCTTCCTCCTCTCTCGCCACTTTTTGTCTATATACATACCACAATATTGCTGTTTCTCTTCAAGTTTGTTTCTAAATCATAGTAAACATCTTTTCTGTAAAACCAGCTTTCTGTCATGGCACTTAGCATTGCCATTCTCTCCCAGTCCCCCTCCCTGGCCTGTGGAGTAAGCTTCCTCTGCCCTCCCCAGTGAACACAGCCAACCCATCGCATCTAAGTCTCATTGAGCAGTGATCCGAGTATAACTTCCACCTGCCTGTGGTCCCATGTTCACCTCCACCAGACAAGCACCCTCTGGCCCTGCACCATGTCAGTGTGTCTTCCAGACCTGTCACCTGCAGGCTGGCTCCTCTCAACCCTGTCCTCAAAAGTTGAGTCACCCTTCCTGTGAGCTGTGCTCCAGGAGGCAGGGTGCAGTCTTTCCATAGACCTTGGCAAATTCCCAAGTATTACTGTGTTCCTAAAGCCACAACTCTTTCCTTTCCATTGCATTCTCATTCCTGGCTTTGGCTCATATTATTTTGTTGAGAAAACAGACAACTAGGTTTGAACCTGCTTCCCTCAACCAGTCAGTCCCCCTAAGGCCTCCCGTCCCTGCCTCCCTGCTCCTGTCCCGGAGGCATCTGCACCCACGCCTGCTCCCTCCACAGCCTTGGCTCCTGCTCCAGGCTCTGCCAGGATGTTGCTCCTTCAACTTTACCCCTTCTTTTGTTATTAAACTCTCCCTTTACTTCCTTCTATTTAAAAACATAAAATGATAATGATATTATTATAATTGGTTATGTTTACTGGGCACATTGTTTTTATAATATAAATACTATTTTCTCATTATAGAGAGAGGAAACCGAGTCACAGAGTAGTTAAGTAGCTTGTAAAAGCCTACAGCGCAAGTAAGTAAAAGAGTCAGAATTTGAACTCAGGCAGAAAGATTCCAATGCCCCTCAACTTAGCCGCTACATCATAGTACAGCTCAAAACTTCCTCTTCCTTTGAAAAACAGGAAACCATCTTCTCCTTGATCATGCTTCCTACAAGCTACCCTTTATCTTTAAAGTATCTTTACCCTTTCCTTTCGCTTTCAAACTCTTCAAGATTAGTTTATATTCACTACTTCTGATACCAGAGGAGAGGATCTAGGGGTACCTGATAATAGGCCTCAACCTAGCCCATCCTCTTACCAGGTTCTTGGTTCCACCACAGGAAAGAATTCAGGAGCAGAGTCACAGCAGAAAGTGAGAACAGGTTTAAAGTAACAAATGAGAAAAACAGATTTCACAGAAAGAGTGTGGCATAGCTCCAGAGACCGAGCAGGGCCCACACCAAAGTTAATACAAAAGAAATACACATTCGCAGACAAAGTGCAGGCTGACTGCAGAGTGAACAGCAGCCTGCTAAAGGCACTTTGATATAGAAAGTAAGAAATACACACCTCAGGTGAAGTGCAGGCTGGCCCCAAGAGAATGAGCAACTCCTACCAGGATTCCACTTTTATAGTTTCACTATCTAATACATATTTATGCTATTTAATGAATATTCAACTAAGGGAGGGTGGTTCCCAGTTATGTAACAGGTTGTGTAATGGGTTTGCATATGCTCAGTTGGTCTCTTTTTAGGACATGTTCATTGGTCAAATTCTTCCATATGCACCAAACGTTTTCAAGAGTATTCTGTGCTTTTTAGCGCCTTGTGTGGAAGGTCATTCAAAGGATAAACTCTACTGAGCATGCTTGGCTACTAGTGTTATATAATCACTCCCTACTGAGCATGCTCAGCCACTGGATTTGCATAAGTCTGTCCCTTGTGGTCTCAATCTCCCTCTGTTGGTACCAAAAATAGGTGCAATAAGCAACAGTAACTCTCTTCTAAGGGAGAGCCTAGAGGAGGGGATTGAGACACTGGGAAGTGGCTTGAAACCCAGAGGTGTTTCCTGAAGCCCGAATTCATGGAAATTGAGCACCTCCAATCTCAGTTCTGCTTTCTCACCTCCCATGTGTGCCTCAGTTTTCTGCAAACTGGCATCTCTACATTCACAGAAATTTCTCTTTTGCAGTTCAGCAGTGATCTCAGTATTAGTCAATCCAAAATCATTTTTTAATCCAAAGGTGTCTCTTCCTTCTGACTCTTATGTTACTGTTTGCTTCTGCTTCTGAGGAGGTACCTGAGAGCATGCTGTATTGTGTTGTCTTTCTCTGGCTGTGCATCCGATCGCTCTGATTAGATTATAAACTGGTGGTCAGCAAAAATGTTTTAGATCTCTTATTTCTTCACTATGCACCAAGTAGCAGCACATTTCCTATACATGCTGACTGACTCTAACTGGAATGCAACTAAAATTGTCTCTCAGTGATTCCCTGACTAATCACACAGCCATTGGAAGTAGGTTGTGTGAGTTGGACACTTTTTCTTCTTCATCTTTGCTTTTACCATCTGTGGCTGGAGCCCCTGGCTCACAAGAGTTTTTAATTAGAAAGTGTAAAGAACTAACACAATCGAAGAAATCCAAAGGCAGAATACCCCTTTTGTTGCCCCAAGAAGCTCTGAGTAACTTGAAGAACCCCAACCCCCAGCACCACATCAGTTCACCATACTTTCAGGGGAAAAGAAGGATCTTCCACCCACACCATAGACAGAGTTTCACAAAGACATTTTGTTTTACAACTTCCTATTTATCCCTTAACTTGCTCAAACTTGGGGTTGATTAATCCAGTTGTCAAAGGCCTTGGGAGGAAGATTCAATAGCAGGTCCTCAAGATTCATTTTCCCTTAAGGCAAATAAATACAGGGCAATCTTTGTACACGGTGACTCTGCAAAATTGATTTTACCCACTACTGCTGACAACACGCTTCTCTGTGACAGACAGGGGCTGTCCTCCGAGCCTGCATATGGTTGTGTAGGTGTTGGTCTACCCTGGAACTCAGTTCTAACCTGCCTGTGGGTTTTTGGTCCTTACAGCTCCTGATGGTCCACCTCAGGAAGTCCACCTGGAGCCCATTTCATCTCAGAGCATCAGGGTCACCTGGAAGGTAAACCAAGTAAATGCTTGTACTCTAGCACTTTTCCACGGGGGTGAGCCCTTCACTCGTGTTAAGTGTTATGATGCCAAGACACTACATTTTATGAAAGTTGTATTTTTCAAAATTAGATTGAAAGCCCTTTTTTAAAAATTTAATATTTGTATTCACGTTTTGAATATTTTTAACAGAAAATTCTACATCTACAAATTGCTGTGTCTTTTTTATTTTTTATTTTTTTATTCTTTGTATCTAGATTGAGGTCCAAAGTGCTGATCTTTACCCACATAGTAAAACTGGCATCCCTGACTGTGCTCTCTAATTTAATCCCAGGGAACCTTTTGCTAACTGTTTTGCTAAGTGGCAAAGCATGGGGAAGTAAATTTTCCACCAAGACGGCAGAAAGGAGAGAAGTCCTAGCTGTGCCACTAACTGGCTGTGTCCTCAAGAAAGCCTCTTAATTTCCTCACCAGAGAAATGCACATTTGACTCAGCTGCCTCCCAAGGCAAGGCTATCCCGAGCATGGCCCATAGATGCAGGCTGGCTGCTGGTTAGCTCAGTGTTTGTTGCCAGTTGCTGGGAAAGAAAGAAGGCTTGAGCAGCAGTGTAAACAGCTGCATCACTATGCATGTTGTTTCATTCGGCTGACGTGGTTTCATGGCAAACTTTCTCTATGAAGGAAGCAGTGTTGATTTATGTTCCAGTGCAAGCTCATCACAAAACAGAACTTTGGGGCCCTGTCTCCTAAAGGATCTTCAAGTTAGTAGCATGGCATTTACCTTACTGGGTGAAAACCCATCTCCTTCCATGTGCTCTTGGAGGTAACTACCAGGCCACATTCCATTTTATCTAGAATGCTATAAAGTTTTACTTACAACCCCAGTTCTGGATTTCTCTCATTGTATGTGTTTTTTTCTTATCTCTTTTCTCATTCTGTAATCTCACCCAGAGAAGAAGGCAGTAACAGCCACAGTGAGGTCTTCAAATCCCACCCCTCTTGTAACCACCGCAAACCTCACCCAACACACCTGTGTGTCGGAAGCACACAGTAAACAGATTATGGTTTTGGTTGGTTGGTTTTCTCTCTGGTGTTGGTTCTTTCATAAAACAACCAGCATCTGTAACAAAAGTGTATGTGCATTGTGGGGATGGATACCACCTTTGGCATTAACACACATGAATGCAATGAGCCCTTTGCATCAGCTTTTTTCACCCCCAGCCAGTGAGTGTGTTTCCAGCAGCCAGCGTGGTGAGACTGTCTAGCTGCACAGACACTGCAGGCTGAGGAGTGTGGAAGAGGGTTTGTGTGTCTCCGTGAGCGCGTCTACCGCCTGCGGGCTTCACACACACTGTATAATAAAAGGCGCTCAGTAAGCACAACCCACTGCATTCAGGCCACTCTACAAACAGAATGCTGACTCACTCTATCCTGAGTTAAAGACTGAGAAATTTCAGCCACTAGACCTACACATTCTCTTGCATTTTGCCACTGAAAAAGACCAGCTACAAGGGTACTTTAAAAAGTTTGTGGAGGGCCGGCCTGGTGGCGCACTGGAGAGTGCGCCGCTTGGGAGAGCGGCGGTGCTCCCACCGAGGGTTCAGATCCCATGTGGAGACCAGTTCCCGCTCACTGGCTGAGCGCGGTGCAGGTGTAACACCGAGGGTTGCGATCCCGTTACTGGTCAGTAAAAAAAGACAAAAAAGGAAAAAAAAAAAAAAGTTTGTGGAAAAATAGAACAGAAAGATAACTTGAATCTTTCCATGAACTTTTGGAAGTACCCTTAAATTACTCTGACCCCAATAGCTTTTTGAGTCGTGCATGATAGAGGTGTCTGTCCACAGAGTATCCAGCTGTTATAACTAAAAACGGGAACTTCTGAGGCTTGTTTCAAGCCATTGTGTCTTTTTGCTCTCTGTAGAAAGCAGCAGCATAAATCAGCAAATTGCAGTTAAATTTCTTCTTAGGGCCAAAAGGATGAACATGTTGTGGGCTAGTAAAGGAAGCTTTGCTTTCATTAGACTGTGAACCGATTGTCATATATTGTTCACGGAGCAGTGTGATGTATCTCCACGCAGTGGGCCCTTGCTGCATGGCCTGTCGGTGGCAGGCAGGCCACTGGGTGATCTGACTGAATGAGGTAAGGACTGCCCACTCATCAGCTTGGCAGGTCATGCTGCCTGTGTATAGAAGGCACTTTCAAAGTGTGTCACTGATTCAACCAAATTGTAGGCTGTTATACGTAATCTAAGGTACATGTAAAGTAAAATATGTTGCATGATATATGACTGGGTTTTTTTATTAAGAATATTCATGAGATGAAAAGCTGATTGTCCCCCCTTCTACCCATGATGTGGGGGCCAGCTTCATACTGGGGGCATATCCATTACCAGAAATTACTTTTTTACCCTTTTCCCCCTCCCAATTATCCTTCAACCTCCGTCCCCTTCCCCCTCTCCCCTCAACTCCAATTTGTAGCCCTAGGAATGTTCCCTCCCTCTGTTGGATCATGACACTACTGTGGTCTTTCTTTCCTGCCTTCTTTCTCTCTTAGCTCCCACATGTGAGTGAGCACAAAAAATAAATAAATAAATAATAAAGTAAAATAAAATATGCCTGCCTGTGTTTTACAGTATAAAAGTTTGAAGTATACATTTTGTGAAAGGAGACTGATGACGAAAGGGGAAGAAAGAAGGAGGTAAGGAAAGACAGAGACTAGAATTAGCCCAAAAGATAAAGCCCCACATCGGTCAACCAGCATGGAAATATCAGGGGTGGTTGGAAGCCCAAGGAGGGAACTCATTTACAGTCACAGGACAACTGATCAGAAGTAAAAGATGTGCTCAGTGGAGAGCCGTGAAGTAAAAGAGAGAGTTGCTGTGGGGTTTTGGTGGGAAAACAGCCATTTTAGACTCTAAACCTCTAGAAGGTAAGGGATACCTTGGCAGCCTTTCTGTAACACTACAGATAGATATTAAATATGTCTAATTATCATTGTACAAGCAACACTCTGTAACAACACCTTGTACTAAACAAAACAGACAACTTTCCCTTTTTATTTTAGTTAAAAAGTTTAAGATTTAAACATTTTCAAGTTTGGCACAGGTTGCCCATGCCTATTGAGTACAGACCAGTCCTGTAGCACCCTCAAGGCCCTCCACCCTCAGGCTGCAGCACCCCGACTCAGGCCTCTGCCCCCCACCTTCCCCCGGTGACACCCACCCGTTCAGTTGGCCACAGCCATTGCCTTCTTTCCCATCGTTGTTCACGCTGCTTGCAGCATGCCCTCCTCTCCTGTTCATTTCTGCTCATTCAGGCTCTGGTTGTGCGTGCGACTCTCCATGAAGATTGACCCGTTTCCAAAGTGGAATGAATAGTTTCATCCTCCGTGTTGCTCATTGCTCTTGGTGATTGCTCAGTTAGATTCTCATCGTGTGGTGTCCATAGTCTGTTTCCTGTGCGTTTCCTCTGCTGTTCTGTGAGAAGGAAGAGTGTCTTATTCATCTTTGATCCCCAGTGGCTGGCACCTGTTGCATGAATGAATGAATGAATGAATGAATGAATGAATGAATGAGTGGGCAAGTGAGTGGAGGGGTGGGTGAGCGTATATGTGAGTTGGGAGTGATATGTGTTCCTCATCACAGTAGCCCTTGAAGTATTGAAAGACAAGCCACTTCACAGATGGGTTTCTACTATTATTTGTCAAAAAGTAAAGGGCAATAGTGGTCCAGTAACTTTGTGATAAGTTTTATAGGAAATGGGCATCTGCATATCACAGATGTCCAAGAATCAGTACCATATTAAATGTCTGTATTACATAAGATGAAGGCTCAGAAAGGGCTCTTAAATACTTTTACATATGTTGAGTTAAATAAAAATGCTAAGCAATGCCTTAATGGGAACTTGAGACAATATAAGTGGTTCTAAATAAAATAAAAATAAATGACAATAAAGTTTCATTTTCTAGCTCCTGCTCCACACCCTTTGAAAAACAACAGGGTTTGCATAAGCAAATACTGTTTATTTTAATGGCATGTTTTGTTTCTGATTCACTATCAGAAAGATCATTGAAAGCTATAGATTATTGATAACATATATTTCATAAAGTACCTGAAAATTATATTACTAAAGAATTCTCCGGTTTTTCAGAAAATCCCGATTTTAGTCTATACCCTTAAGTATCTCTTTTAACAGTGCTTGTCACCTTCTCTTCTGGTCAGTTTCAGACCATTTTTGTGCAAATTAAGGACAGTTTGTTTGCCAACTATTTACCTGTGTGTGTGTGATTGCCATGGTCACTCATAAAATAAAATATTCAGTATTTAGAATATTTTATTATTAAAGACATCTCAAAACATTTATCCAGAGAATGCAATTTAAGGCATAGATTTTTCTTATTGGTGTAAAATTTGTTGTTGTTTTGTTTTTGCTTAAAGTGAGAAATCTTTGTAGAGCCACAGGCAGTCACCAAAATATAAATTTTTCAATTGCTTAAATATCATAATGCTAAGAACAATTGCAAAACTGATGATTCAGAATACAAATCCTGAGAATGTTTTTACCATTTTTTTGCTCCTCAGTATCGTACCCTCTGGCTGTGAATTTTATTTAGAACGATCAGAATTCTCATTTGGAATTATAGAAGAGAGGTATGATTTCCATAAAATCTTAAAATTGAGTATTTAGGGATTTAATTAAATTTCAGTAATCTGAAGAATACTTCTAACCAGAATGCTACATCTCTGCAATACCAAATAATTCTAGCTAATTGAGGCATCATTACAACCTATTATATGTTCCAGAAGTGAGCTCTAACAATGGGAAAATGGCTTAGTACACCACTTAAAGACAAACTGCCATATAGCCAACGACATCCATGGTAATGGTTTCTTAAACTGCAGTCTCCACTTGACTCCTACATTTAAATCCTCCTTCCTCCAGGAAATAGGCAGCCCTGTAGGCACCTTCTGTCACTGGCGTTGCCTAGCTGGGGTTCCTGGGACAGCTGTCCTC